CTCCTTCTCCTCCTCTCTCTCTCTCTCTCTCTCTCTCTCTCTCTCTCTCCTCCTCCTCTTCCTCTCTCTCTCTCTCTCTCTCTCTCTCTCTCTCTCTCTCTCTCTCAAGAAGTTTCACTTCTGTAGCCGAAGCTAGCTTTGTACTTCTTATCCTCCTTGCCAGCCTCCTCAGTGCTGGCATTATGGACATATGCTACCATGGATGACTGAAATAGTCATTCTCCTCAACTCTTGTCTCTGCCTTCAAAAGGCTGTGGGGCCAGCAATTACCGTTACTATTATTACATTATCTACCGTTACTACAATAGTATTACTATTACTAGGAATCATATTGCTTAGAGGAGGACAAGAGACTCCAGGGAGAGTAAATGAGGCAGGGGTTGTAGCCAGGTGGGAGTGAAGGAGATGATGGGGAGGTGACCATAGTTTTAGAGACGTAATTTTGGCCATAGGCCCTGATAAATAAAATTAAGATCCTCATCTCCTCATCCTCTCGTCCCTAGAAGATGAGGCATACTGTTGCTTCTCCTGAGGGCAGGCTTAAGGCCAGTGCTTCCAGAGTGAAGAGAATGGCCGAGATTAGACTTCAAGCCCTTGCCTGGATGATATGGAGATGCTTAAGGAAAGGTGTACAGAAGCTGTCCCAAGGCTGGCGGGTTTGGTCCTCTTGACCTCGAGCTTCCCCTCTCATCATCTTGTGCTTTTCTCTCTAGCCTCAGAGGAGTGGGGTAGGTGACTCAGATGTTCCCTTGGAGTTTGACTACAGAGACTTCAGTCCAGGCTAAGCCTGCCTCCTCTCTTTTGCACTCCCAGTCAATTTGCCCATCTTCCATGGGAGTGTGCTCCCTAGAGCCTTGTCCTGCATCACTCTCTACTTTCGGAAACTCCTGTTGCTTAGAGACAAGTCCCAGATGTATCACTAGTGTAATAGTCGTGGTGGGATGACAAAGGGGCCAGAGGAGAGGAAACAGGCAGGCTAGTGTGGGACTTCAGCCAAGATGAGTGCCATGCCCCTAACCCAATTCTGTTCTTAGATGCAGTGTGAGTGTTTGTAGAATACAGGCAACTTGCCTTGACCTCTGTGCCAATGACTATACCTTAAACCTGAGCCTCCTTCCCAGTCCATACTCTCAGTCCTTTTCCAGTCCAAAACCTTCCTTTGGACCTTCTCCAACTCTGGATTCTTAGTCCTCCAAGCCAGGAGTCTCTAACAGTTATTTTCCATCTTTTACTTTATGTTAGCTAGTGACTTTAGCTGTGTCTTTGGCAGAAAACACCTTCCTTTACTGATCCCATCCCAAGAGGCATTCGTTCTGCTTTTGGAATGGATTCAAAGATAAAGGGTTTCAGTGTGGAGTTTATCCTAGGATATGGGGAGTTACCCTGTGTTTGTTCCACACCTTTTACCATTTCTTTTCTGGAGACTTTCCCTTTCTCTGCCTTTTACTTCACCAGATGGTGAGGCTTCATAGAAAAAATGGTATCTGTTATTGAAAATACATGTCATGGGTAACTTCATGTGCCATATCTAGCTCTGTTTGTAAACAGCAAGTCAAAATTTCCAGTGAAGGTTCACTTCAGCCTTGTCTGGAAGTCCTCATATTCCTGACCCCTTCTCATTGGCTCCACCCATCCTGATCTCCTGGGCATTGGGGATAAGGGAATAAAGACACTGTTGGGGAGGCTGTGGCTGCAGAACAGCTTCTCCAGGTTCACTTCTTCCTTGGTGAGTCCTTCCTTCAGATGACCTCCTTCATTTCTGCTGGGCCAGCCTGGGTGAGAAGAGTGTGACAAAGCATGGAATCCTCCACAAGGAAGGCCTGGCCTTGCAAGTGGGAGCGTGCTCAGGGAGGAGAGAACAGAGTACTTGGAATTGTGACTGTAAGGATTCCCTGAGAATCCAGCCCTGGCGGCAGGAAAGATGAGGCAGGATGATTGTGGGTTTGAGGCCAGCTACATTGTGAGACACTGTTTCAGAGAGGGAGGGGGGAGCGAGGGAGCGAGGGAGGGAGGGAGGGAGGGAGAGAGAGACGGGGAGAGAAAGAGAGAGAGAGAGAGAGAGAGAGAGAGAGAGAGAGAGAGAGAGAGA